TAAACCTTTATCAAACAAATAATTACATTGATTAATGACTTATTAATATTTCTGATTGATTTCTATTCACACTTAAAAAGTTTTCGATTTCTCGATACAAAACTTTAGACGAATTTGCTCATATTATTGTCCTAATACGTTCTTGAAAAGTTATACTTATTTTATCCTTTTTTTTGTTTCATAAGGGTCACGACACGACAGCAGCCGGTAGCAGTTTCTTCTTGTGTTTGATGGGTTCTCACCCAGACATACAGGTAAGATTTGCCCGTCATTAATTATTGTTCAATTTGTGTAATATTATGTAAGTTTCCCGTGTTGATTTTTGTGCGCTTTTGTCGTTTTAGCAAAAAGTCGTTGATGAACTGTACTCGATATTCGGTGATTCCGACAGACCAGTGACTTTCCAAGATACATTGCAAATGAAATACCTGGAGAGATGCATCATGGAAACGTTGCGCATGTATCCTCCGGTTCCGATTATCTCCAGACAAATAAAAGAGAATGTAAAACTAGGTGAGTTTGCCTTCTGAGGGCAGTCTTAATTTCGACATTTTTCGCGACAATTCGAATTTAACTATTCTCGAATAGCTATACTGGCTTTGATCAAAGGCCGATTCTCAGTTCTTGCGCCTTCCAAACACTAATGTTTAATATTTATAATTTAACCCTTGAGCTACCCCCAATAGGGACTTTTTTCGCGTACTGTCTAAACAACCCTTGCTGTGGCCGGAATCCGTACGATAAATTATTGTAATAATCGATATTTATTTTTTTCAGCGTCTAGAGACGTAACTTTACCAGTCGGTGCTACGATCGTCATAGCCACGTTCAAAATTCACCGTAACGAAGATGTGTTCCCCAATCCCGAAGTGTTCAACCCCGACAACTTTTTGCCCGAGAAATCGGCCAGTCGTCATTATTACGCGTACGTGCCGTTCAGTGCCGGGCCTAGAAGTTGCGTCGGTATGTTATTCTTTATTACTTTATTACGTTATATAATTATTGCAGTAATATTTGAAAATTACAAAACTTCAGTTTTAATTTGTCGTTTAAATACGACAATAATTAATTTTGTATTATTATTATAATGGATATATTTTGAATAAACTGTTGTTCATTTTTATGAACTAAATTTGAATCACATGTTATTTATTATTATATTTATTTAAAGAATAATGCTTTTATGAATAAAATTTTAATTAGGAATTAAACTAAAACTAAATAAAAAAAAAATCGAATTGTTTACGATATGAAACACAATTGTATTATAGTAGGGTTAAGGTCAATTAATTGTTTATTCAGATTTTTCTTAAAGCTTTAACTATAAAAAAAGTATAAATTATTTTTCTTTATTAACCTATGAGAACCTTTTATGAATCAAATTTATAAATTAATTATCGTATTTTTAATTGTGTTTTATGCAAAACATTTTGTTTTTATAGCGACGTGTGATGTGATGATAAATAATTTGTATTCAATTGTCAATAAGTATTTCTTTTTTTTTTTAGGTCGCAAATACGCCATGTTAAAACTAAAAATTATTTTGTCAACCATCCTACGAAACTTCAAAGTAAACAGTAATCTAGCTGAAAAAGATTGGAAACTTCAAGCTGACATTATCTTAAAGAGGACTGATGGATTCAAATTAAGTTTGGAACCAAGAAAGTCGCTGGCTAAGACCGCTGCTTAAGTAGCGAATTATCATTATTATTGTTATTCTATGGAGTGGATAATTCTTTTTAAATGATTCATATATTACTTTATAAAGTTAATGATTATTATTATTTGAACTGTTGACTGTCTATTGACTACATGGCTATCAAGGCCGATATAAATGTTTATTTTTTACATAGTTAACTTTTTATTCTGTATCATTTTATTGTATAATTTGTATTTAAGGATTTTGGAAATCGTAGTTAAACGAAATAAACGTATTTTATTTTCATTATAAACACTGTTTAATTGTTTTATGTAGAGTATTATATGAAATTTTGGTAATATTTTATCTGGTTAAACAGTAAAATAAATTTGATAATTTTAACAGTTGCTTATAGACTTGCAGTCTACGGATTCATAAAAAAAAAAAAAAAAACACTGCATTGTTTACAATAAAATAGAATAATATTATTTGATCAAATAGTAATATTTTCGTTGTTTACACGCTATAATAACTTGCTGAAAAGTACATGGTTAAAAATCGACTTGAATCAAATAAAAGGATCCATTTTTTTAGTTTATTATCGATTCAATGTTATAATTTTCTAAATTACCCAGTAAAAATTTGTTGATTTGATATTTAGTAATATCAATGTGTGCGTGTTTTTATTTTAAATTTCGTGGTAGGTTTAGTCATGTTTAAGTTTAGGTATTTGTAAATTAGAAGTAGGTACGTAGGAAGAGAGTGAGCCAGTAGATGCATAAGCCTTAGTTATTATTATTATTATTATATCAATGGTTGTATGCAGTGTGACATTCATCACTGACAATATTCAGAATGCATATCAAATTTTAAGCTGGATCCACAATAGAACGAACATTGTCGTCTAACATGTTCGCTGATAATGTTTTTCCTAGTCTGTACGTGTTTCTTATGTGTGCGTACAATATTTAAATGCTCGCTCAACAGGCGGTATTTGAACGAACATTAAAGAAAATGTTTGACAACGCTGTCTTTTGTGTGGACATGATCGACAAAAAAATAGTTATAAATAATAATTTATTTATAAAATGTGTTTAGTTTAAAATTAATAATTATTTTTGAATAAATAGTTATGATTTAAAAAGTTTATAAGAATAACTAATTATTGATCAAGCTTAACTATATACATACTTTAAACTATTATTGTGTATTTTAAATTTTGAACTTTAATTTTAAACATTAATTTTAAATATTGAATAAAGAATTGAAAATTAAAAAACTTACCTATATATTGAATTTATAATTATTATTTAATAACAATCATTGTTTTTGTACTAGCTGTAGGTAATAATATACTTATATACTTATATTGTACCTTAAGTGCCTACCTACAGATGTTATTTATTTAATTATTCGTATGAAACTGTAACTTATATAGGTACTTGCTACTTAGGTATATATATACTAGGTACTTCAAAATTTCAAACAGTATATGTATTATGTATCGTACATTCGAATTTTAAATATTTAGTAATGATATTTATATTATAATACCGAATTGAAGAATTATTTACACTTAATTAAATATAGTTAAATATTATGCCACTGATGAAGTAATATAATTTATAAATATTATTATACTTATGTTAAAAAGTGATTTTTTTTTTTTTTGTTTTTAATTAAGTTTTATCCATTGTTTAATATTTTTTTTTACCTATTAAAATACAGTTTCTTTCATTTCATTTATATTATTTTTAATTACATGTTTGGTATTACAATATTATCAATTGTATGATGTTTATTTAACTAATATTATAATTTGATATTCACCGTCACATATAATTTTAGAGCTTCGACTATAGCTTGTTTACTGTAGCTTCATATACTTCTGATACTATATTAGATATTAATTGTCAATAAATTTTAAAAAGATACATTAAACTTGTATACGAATAACTAGTAGCCAAAAAACTTTAATTAACAGCTAATCGCACGTTTGGTAAAATTATTTCTCTTAGATGAGTTATATCCTTCTCAACTTGAGATGAGAACCAATAACTTCAAGCAACGATTCAAAATTTGTTGTTGACATTCTTATAAAGTTTTTGAATCTTTAATGTTTCAGTTTTAAATAATTTCCATTGTAACGAAATCTACTTTCAAAAATTGTTCATCACCACCAACTAAAGATGTGAAAATAAAAGCTGCATTAGTAATTATTGTCTTCGTCATTTCTATTGAAAAAAAAAAATAATAAAACTTTAAATAAGTATTCAAAAAACTACCAATTACACGTTCATACCGAAATAATCATACATGTATTAACATGAAAATAAATAATGCGAACGGGAAATCTTTTGTGTAAGTTTACGATCACTGTCATCGATCATTTGAAAGCACAGTAGTATTAGTTCGTCGAGTCAGGAAATATTTTGAACAAGAGTGTTCAATATAACAATGTTCATCCTAGTGTGGACCCGGCTTTACAGTTAAGATTGTGACTGATTTAAAACGACTAACACATGAAGAAATTTGATATAAAATTATTAATTTTTGGTTATATAGATATAGATTAGTAATCAGTTCACTTCAAGATGTTTGAGCTATACTTACGACGATAATAATAGTTAGTTATGTGATCGTGGTAAACGACAGTAAGTCGGGAGCAACGAGGTTTTTATGAACATAAAATCTCGGAACCGTTAAAGACTTTTCCTTACTCTCCTGGCGTATAAGATTATAGGCAGATGTATTATAATTTAAGAATTTGTTAAAAAGGTTTATATTATATTATTAGACAATACATACAGCAGTATATCATAAACTTTAAATTTAAACTGAATACGGCAACTGTTGTATTGTTGGCATTGGCGTTGTTGAATACGTATCGCGTGCAGCATTTTAGTGTGCAATGTGCACTGTGTGAGATTATATATTATATTAATTTTAGAATTGAAATTATACGATTTCGAAGGTGAATTTATTTCGAGGGGGCTACCAGTAAATTTTGGGACCAGTTCCTTCCCCTTTCTAACGCTTATGCGATTACGTCGTACTTTTCATCATAACATGGGGGTATCACCGTATCGGACGCTTCCGGTCGGCTTCCGCGGTTAACTCATAAATCGTGTTGCAGTATTTAATAGAATATAATATAATAATATCATTGTCTTTGGCGTAGTAGGGCAATGTAGTCGCGTTTGTTAGCGCAATCGTCAATTTATTTACGCCGGTCTGACCGGGAATATTTTTTTTCACCGCAGGGATCACACTTCGAGGAGTGGGGGAGATCCCCCTTTCATTTGAACACGGCTTTTAATAATAATGTGTTATTATTATTATTACGTGTGTAGGTCGTGTGCGTGTGTGTCAGCGAACTAGATGCCCTTTCATCCCGTCGGCAAATCGTCAACACATCACGATTTCCTACACTCGGGTGAATGCGGTTCTCGCGATACAGCGTAGGTAATATTATGATATGTAACAACATAAAAGTAAACGATATCAAGACAATGATGTCCTGGTGGTTATCGCAATAATATTGTTATTAAATTATTGCGAATACAGTAAGTTGATGGAGCATCTATATTTTCTTATTAGCTTTCATTTTATTGATAATTATAATAACCATATAGTGTATAATATGATTGGTAGGTAAGAAACGAAAATCATTTATCGTTTTCGGTTTTGTTTTTGTGGTACTCGCAAGTCATGAAGACCGACGAAGAAAACGTTAGGTAAGTTATACGTCATATTTCGTTAGCTTGTACGCATGTTATAACTCTGATACCAGCTACAATAAGAATACTACGAGGTGTATACATAGTTTTGTCCATCTTATCGTAATCAAATAAATATTCAATTTTGTATATCAACCGAAAAACATGTGCCCGACGAGTTTTCGACGAAAAATGTTTCATAAATAGTTTCGAAAATATTGTCGCTGTTACAATTCCATATTAATTATGGCTCAAAATGATGCAAACTATTTAAATAAATAGAAAATGTTAAACTTATGACTTATAAGGTTGTTTTCACATTACATAACAATATTACGATTTGTATAGTAAGTATCTATGATATTATAGCCAGTAGGCATCTCATGTGTAACCGCCTAACCCATTTGTTTACTATTTTTCACTGTGTTTTTAAACGAGTGATTATATTTTGTATCTAAGTACCAAAGAATTTTTCCGAATAACGAATGTTAAGGTTTTTTTAATATTATTAAGACATTTAATTTTTTTCGCATTTGATAAAATGTATTATTTGAATTCTAAATATTTTACTGAATATATATATATTTCTTATATCATTCATTATGACGAAAACACCTCTACAAATTTACACGAGTGAATCAATATATTCTATAAATAATTAATTTATAGACGAGTACAATGTGAACGATGTATAATATATTTATAACTTCAAATCGTGTAATTACTATACCTATGTTAATACTTTTACTTTAACTGCACTCGTAGGTAAAAATTAAATGTTAAATGTTAATACACTCTTTAGTGTTTACACGTATTAGTTCTTATTACTCGGTACTTATATATTATAATATGATATTATATATCTGTTTCCAATCATTGCTCACTTTGTTCGCATACAAGCGTTAGCTAATTTAACGATATACGTACTACTATTATGGGCAGGTATGCTTGACTACTTTAATGGTACTAGCATTATTTGCTTTGAGTAGATGCGAATAATATTATACGTTAATTATGTACATTAACAAATTACGTAATGTTTATGCAAAATTGAATGACCACTTGGGATTAAGTATATTGTTATGAGTTATAGCCAAATTTGCAATCGATTGATAATCATTTGTCAGACTATACGAGGTTGTTATAGTACTAAAATAATATGTAAATGCGAGGACTTCCGGCATTTTCTATAATGAACTCTATTGTGCGCGAAGAACGATGTTTTAATCACTCTGTAAGGCGAATGAATAGGGTAATAGGTAACTAATTATTATTACTTCTTGTCTTCGATAATAACATGCGCTGGCATGAAAATGGTAAAATTAAGTGACCGTGGTAATAATTTTAATCGTTTAAATCATCACAGTATATTATTAATAGTTACTACCTACATTATACTGATACAAAAAAAATAAATATATTTAGTAGGAGACACAACAAACTGGACCAATTGACATTATTATTTGTTGGACTGTAGTGGTTTATAATTTTTTTGGAGGAAAAAAAAATGTTCACTGAACATGATTTAAATTATACCGGTTGATGTAATAATGTAACAGTTTGTATTATTATATGTATTGAAATGATTGCCTGTGATTTTTTGAGAAAACACATACTTCTAAAATTGTTCGGGCTTTTAAAGTAGAGTATTATACTTATTGATTGTAAGCTTAATTTTTAAAATACTTAATAAAATAATAAAATATTATCGTTAAGTTATATGATTCCATAACTTACAAATTTAAAAACCTATATAAATATTAAGTTTAAATTATCATGGTTAGCACAATAAAGTGCAAAATTTCATTTAAGTAACAAAAATATCTAAACTGGTACTAAAATACCAAATAAATATAAACATATTTTTAGTTATTATCATAATACGTTTTGTAATCGTATGGTAACTATGCAGATAGCATGTGTAGACAAATAATTTTTACAATATAATAATGTATACTTAATAGGTACAATTTTTATTATGAAATAATCAATGGTTGTGATAGTAGGTATGTGTTTTGTTTGACGAGTGCATTTTTGATACAATCCGTTAACGAATAATAAGTGAATAAAAACCGGTTAGTAGTTGTGTTAAATACATCCGGTGTACGTGTATTGTATTTATTTTTTCCATAGACGTCATTAAATGCACTCAGAACATAAATGTGACATTTTAATTTTAATAAGACTTGAACAAATTAGTTGTACAAGTTCAACAAATTGTATTTCTTTTTTAAATGATTATCTATCATTTGACAACATTGTTATAGTAGGTTTGGAAAATGCAATATTAAACTCTTTTAAATTTACTTAATTTAATTTAATTTATTTTATTTTTAAACTCCATTTTATTTTACTTGATTATATGTTTCCAGTAAATTGCTCTACTAAATGACTAAATCGCCATCCTAACGCTTGTGTTACCAATTATCTCAGGAAATTCTAAAATAATAATAATAACAAAAAAAAAAAAACCATGTAGATAAGTTGTAGATTACTATTAGATATACCATGGATCACAAAATGGTGGTTCATGGACAAATTTTATCTAGTTTTCAGATAAATAATTTATTTTAGAACATTTATCTAATTAAGTTTTTATTTATATATTTTTCATTTCACCTTTATTTTCTTTGGATAAATAAGTACATTAAATTATGAAGAACTTCCAGAATTTTTATAGTAGGTCTATATTTAAATATATATATAGTATATATTGTAGTTTATATCAATGTTAACCTTTGTATTATAGTGACACAACATTAAAATATTTCATGCTTTGTGATAAATGATATAAAAATGTGAATAATAGATAATATTTAATTTTAATTTGTAACGTAAATTTAAAAATAATAAAGAAAAAATAAAACAAAAAAAATGACAAAAAATTTTGTACATTTTGTTTCATTTCATATAGGTACTTTGTGATATATTTTAATTTATCTACAGATATACCAGTGTTTTGCAACACACTGAAAAACGTTGGTCTATATTATATTATTATTTTTAAACAAATTATTGAAATAATATTTTTGGCTTTCTATAATGCTATTTTTCAAAAAAAAAAAAAAAATAGCTATTATTTTTACTAATTTGTGTTATTTTTATGTTTTTTTTATTAAAAACATATTCCTACTAAAAAACATTTTAAAAAGTATAGGCATAGTCTGTAATTATATTTTTAACACGACTAGTATTAGTTACGTAAGTGAACATGAATAATTTTTAAAGTTTTAATCAAATACGGAAAATGTTATAATAAATCATCTTATTATCAAACATGGATGTATATACTTTGTAATATTAACAACTTGTTGTATGCATCGATGGGCAGTTGGACCAGCGAAATGTCTAATCAACCTACTGGAACAGAATTTTCACCTTCGTTAATTAGTGCAAAGGTCATAAGTTCTACTCCCCCAAATGAATTCACGCCAAACAAGGATGAAATTTTACCAAGGCCAAATTCTGTACTGTTCGAGTAAGTATATAACGTCATAATATTAAGGTTTAACTGTCGAGTTCCGTTCAACAAATCGCTAAATATTAATCCTATGATTTATGAGTTAGTTACAAAAAAAATAATATACATAATTTTTAATATTTATATATGGTTGAAGTTAGCCATTTTTAACCCAGATTGTCATGTGAAAACATTAGTTTTTGCAATTTTAATGGCTGTGTAAGTCAGTAAAAATATCTTTGTACTCTGAATCAATTAAGGAAATACAAAATTTGACAATAATTTTATCAAAAAAAGTCAAACAGAAAAGTGCAGTTTATTTTTTACAAAACTATTTTATAAATAATACATTATTAACAATTTTTGTTAATCTCCAAGTGTCAAACTATCAAGTAACTATACAGCCAGCAGCCTGTATAATGCGTAATAAATGGATTATAATTTCATAATTCATAATTTATAATGACGATTAATTACACGGTAAATATACTAAAAAGTAATTAGATAGGTAAAGTTGAATTTACTGGTATTTATTTCAATAGATCGTCATATATTTATAATACAAATTATATAATATTATATAAGTGCACGATGGACGATTTTAAATTTAAATATTAAACATACTAACAGTTAAGCTTTATTAAAGTATATTTTCCACTCTCCCGATGTGTAATATATTTTAAATAAGTAATTTTTTTTTTTTTTTAATTGACGTATACAATATAGTTCATTCATTTTGATTCTGTAAACTAAATCAAACTTAGCTACTAGCTAGCATAATACAATAGTCGTCAATAGAACATTAATTAACACATTGTTTTATTTTGATTAGGATGTCAACAGCAAAGCATTTGTCTACACTGAGCACTTCCGTAAAAAAATTACCTCATCAAATGAAAAGGGATTCAATGACAATTGAAGAGTTACATAATACCTGGAGAAAAATGGGAGCGTAAGTATACAAAGGTAGTTTATTAAATTACATTTTGAAAAACAATTATATTTTTAGTGAATTTTTAAAAAAAATAACACATTACAATTATCAGGCGTATTATTTTAATGTCGAATTCAAATTTATGAGTAATTATTTTAATAAATTTTTATATAATATATTTTTATTTTTTTGTAATTCGTGATTATTTTAAGAAGTATTGACAAATTTTTACTGAAATCTTAACCTGATCGTAGTAATACATTTTATATAAATTTTTTTTTAATTTTAAAATATTTTTAAAAATTTTACATTGTATGTTTCTATTATTTATATGACGTCCAAAAATGTACAAAAATATAATGTCGCAGATATCTTTTAAATTAAAATTGATATGAAATATTTGTTGTTTCCAACTTATCAAAGTTTATAACGTAAGACGTATAGACTTTTGTAACTACTTGCAATTGTTAGTTATCTATTTATTACTGTGATCAAATTTATTATTTGTATAGAAATAAAGAAAACAAATAAATTGCATACCATAAATATTTATAGATTTCAAATCAAAATTGTTTTTTCATTTATTAAAAATAGAAAATCAAAATAAATTGATATGTATTCAATAGAACTTGTACAATAATAGGTAATTATGTAGTAAAAGTTTTTGTAGATATAATAACAACTAATTTTTGTGTTAGAATTTAATTGAAACTTGGGATCTACTCGTATTACTAAGTGAATTCGATGTATTTGTATATTTTCAATTTATTGCAAGTAATATGTTTTTTTTATTAAAATGTACAGGCAAGCTCTTGCTACGACTCTGTCTGCTCTATATGGTAAATTATTGGTCGTCATGGGCATAGCTTTTCCGATGTCTGAAGTGATATCTACTCACATTCCTCATTCATTTTATGAGGTGACGTTTTCAATTGTCTCATATTTTGTTGTAATTTATTTTATACGTATTTTCAATACTTTATTTTTGGTCTTCAGGGTTATTATTTGTACCTTTATTTCGGAAGTATGGCGTTTCTTTTTTATATGTACGCGATGCTGCTTAAGGGTAAGCCCACGATGACACCAGTCAACAATAACTTCAGTAAGTAACTTGATCTAACCTAACCGTGTTGAAATACATACTATATCATTAGTTGATTAGTTATTATTTACTGTTATCGTAACGCGAATACCACGTATGTATAGATAATTCAGTAAGCGATTCCTTATCCGGAAGTGGTTCGGAAAATAGCGATGGAGACTCGGAATATTACGAAGACAACGATGACGAATTTACGAATACCGCTGGCGTCGAAATGGACCATTGGGCATCGCACGTTTCGAAAGCTCGGAGACAATCGTCTCACCTCGTGTTACCGTCTACATTTCAGCATTACGGAAGTTTTTATCTGAGAATGGGTGCCGTTGGTAGGTTGAACATACTAATTTCTGTATGATTTATCACACTATATTATCATATTATTTTTGCAAAAATTATTATTTACTGGCCACAATGCTACGTTGATTAACCGTTCCTCTTTTTCTTTGCCATAAAATGAACTTTGATATTTAGTTCACGAAAAAAGATTGTTGAAAATAATTATAAGTTTAAATTAATATATAAGTTAGTACAGAATGAGTTAGATAAATTGGTATGATGGCGGCTTTGTAAATAAAAAGAAAGCAAAGGGTTCTACATATTTGAATGTTATTGCCATATGTATTATATAAACAAAATCTTTTAAAACTGGTATTACGCTATTAATTAAAAAGCAAATATTCTTTTTAAGACTTTTTTTATAGTAACAAGTATAGATTTTATTAGTTAGTAAACAAACAAAGTGATAACAAAAAAACTTGATGCTGCGTGACACATACCACGACTAGTTTGGACTACATTTACAACATATAGACTTGTTGACATAGCCGTTGTTGCCGTGACAACCTATCTGATGTCTACATTAAATTTAATTATCCGCATATTCATTTTAGGGTTCTAAAATGTCATAAAATTAATTTTTTTGACATTTTTCTTTATATTATAAATATTATATGCATATATAAATATTTCATTTTTAAATGTAAAACTACTGTAGTAATTAAAGCAAACACTTATTTAAGCGAAAATTATGATAAAAATATTCTATACATAAATGCACAATACATTATACAAATTACAATATTGCGTACTTATTTGAATATTTAATAAACGTTTTATAAGTTTATCTTTAGATATTTTATTAATTATAATGTATTACTTATTTGTTCTTTGTAAATAATCTATTAATAAAACTGAAAGAGTTATTAATAGTTCATCAATGATTATTATCATAATATACAGTTTTTAGTCAAAAAAATTTCACAAATTTTATACTTCGATATAACAATTATTATAATTATTTTTAGTGTCATGATCTATAACCTTCAATGTATTATTTTTAATTCGAAAAAAAAAATACAAATTTTAAACGTTAATAATATTCAATTTTATATCATGTATTTATATTTGTGTGTATTATATTCGTCATTTTTTTTTTTTTTAAGATTGGTTATAAAATATAACTTTGATATTGTACTATTAAATTTTCTACTTGATTTTGTTGAAGTTTCAAACTATATGAGTTTATAAGATAATATGAGTTTAATTAAATAATTTATTTTTTGATCTTTTTGGTTTTTAGCTTTCGGCATAGGTAGTATGATTTATTCGGGTCTGGAATTCGGTCAATACTTCGAACTCGAACCGGCGACTAAATGTCATAATGTGCTTCTAGTGCTCACGCCGGCTACAAGAATGGCATTCATATTTATACAGATGTACTTTATATTTTTAAATGACGAGGTAAGATTTTTGTTTGCTATAGATGTATGAAGTATAATTGTTGTAAATTAATTACTTGAAAAATAAATGCACGTATTTTTGCATGGAAATCTTATTAAATACATATTAATGATTCTTATTTAAATATATATATATACAATTATGCTAACAATTGAGTAAAGTTTATGTATTTATTAAAGTGTATTTCGATTGAATGTTATGATAATTGAGTAGATATAATATAAGTATTTATATTTATAACTACAACACATTGTATTAGTCGGATTTAAATGCGTAGTTATGTATATAAACTATAACGCTATATTTTAAAACGAATCTAAGTATAATTCTGTTATAATATAGTGTTAAAAATAGCTAGATATAATTTGGAAAAATATTATTGGTAATAATTTAGTTTATAAATGAAGCTAATATTAATTGAAAAAAATAATAAATATTCTCGTTTTACATTTTTTTTAAAAAGTATACATAAATAATCAATACATTTTTAACAAAAATAAAAGTTAATTTTCAAAAATACGAACATTTTTAATTTTTTTCAATAAAAAGTTAAAATTCGATAAAAGGAATAACTGTTTATATTTATAAAAGGGAGAAATCAGGGAACCTCTTCTCTATGTAGTAATTTTTGTCATCGAAGAAGTAACAGTAATGTTTGTGTTAAATTTGAATTCGTTGTACACGAAAATGATTCGTTGAAAAATATGGTCTGTCTATTTTATTAAGTATATTGTATGATATTATTTTAGATGTTTTTAATTAAGTAATTTATTTTATTATTAGTACTATGGAAAGTTGATTTAATAAATTTTATTCATAAATAAAAGCGGAGTGATGGATGTAGTGATTTTATAATGTATTTTATTTATTTATTTACTTATTTTTGTTGTTGTTAAGCTTATACACACAACATGTAGTCGATATAATGCTTCGATTTTAAACTTTGAGGGTGGTTAAAGATTGAAAATTAGATTTAGTTTGTACTTTAAGAGGTCAAAATTATATATTCTCAATGTTTTTCAAAATAATTGAGAAAAAATCAAGAAAAACAAGAATTTTTATGTAAATTTAGTCTTTGACTAAATCGATTTTGTTTTTTTTTTTTTATTTTACTCGAAAATTGCAGACATTTGAAATTTTCACGAAATTATTATATGATTATTTTTGCACATGATATAATTATAATAATAATAAAAATATAATTTTTGATTTAGTATTTGAGCTATTTATAGATATTTTAAATTAAACATTTTTTTACTTATTTTTTATTATATGTTGATAAAACGTTGTTCTTTGGTGAAAAATACTTGGAAATTGAATATAAGACTCCTTATAATTTATAATTTGACCATTAAAAAAATATTGAAATTTATTTACAATATTTATTTATAAGTGTTTAAATTTAAAACGAAAATCATTGAATTTAAATTTAATAAATTTATAATAGTGACTCACTCAACACCTAATGTACAACAGAGCGGCTCATACTTGTTCGTCCTTTTTTTTTTTTGTTTTTGTTAATTATAAAATTTATTTTCAGGAATATTTTACTTATTTTCAAAGTACCAAATAAATTCAATTTTCTACCTGAAACCACCTCCTTTTTTTTACAATTTTTACTGCCCCTAAAGGTGTGACAGACAGAAGAAACACACTTACATTATTGTAAAATCAATACATTCTTGTATAATTTATAATTTAAAATAAAAAATATTAAAAAACCAAATACAATATTCAAATAAAATAATAGTTTATTAATAAATAATAAAAAAAAAACTATTTATAAACGTTTCAATTTATTTTAAATACATTTTTTGTTACTTAAAAAAAATTAATATTTTACTATTTTTTGTTTAACTGTAATAATTTTATTCATATCATTACTAAAAATTGTATAAAAATATAATATTATACATTAAAAAAAAAAAAAAACAAACGATGTTTTATTTTAAATCTATGATAAAAATTTGAACCAATATTTTATATTGTGGAAAAAGTTAAGTATATTGAAAATTACATTATAATCAATTATTGGAAGTTGAAAATCTGTTTTCTTAGTATTATTTTTACTGAATCAAATAGTACAATATTGATGATATTTTGTTTTCTAAGTTTTTGTCTGTTTTCAGCAACAAATGAAAGTGACACGTCACCGAGTATTGGCAAAATTTGGACTCATGCACATGATCGGCACTAATCTATCAGTATGGCTCAATGTACTCGTACAAGAAACCAAACACGAAATACTAACTTTTTACAATCCTGCGGACAATTCTATCGGTGTCGATAAACAACCAAATCATTTTTCACGTAAGTTTATAAAATCGATATACATGTTTACATGTTTATACTTATAACAGCACAAGTATTTTACCATCGGGTGTCTTACTTAATACAAAATTTACTCTAAATTAGTATTGAAGTATTATATTATATTTAGATGTATTTAACTGGTGAATTTTTATAAAGTCGTCGATATAAAACCCCTTAATAAACAGGTGTTGACGTCCACTTAATATCTTAGGTTTTCTGTTAATACAATAGATACCACTGGTCTGAACTTGTATCCCACAAAACCATGCCAAGCCCCTTTGCAAATCAAGTTCTCATAAATTAAGTAGGTATTGAAAAAAATATATTAAAATTTTTTTTTAATATTTTACATTCAAATCCAATATTAACCTATATCAATAAAAATGTAATACTATTCGTTAGTAAACGCATCATTTTAAAACGACTATACCGAATAATGTACGTATTATAATAGTCGTATTGCGTGTATTTTTGATACTGGTGGTTAGGGTTGATTATGCTCTGGATAATCTGGTCCAACAGCACAAATTTCTCTCTCGGTCCACTCTTTAGAAAAACGAGTTTCTTTTACTTAGTTTAAATGAAGTCGCTATTTTTTACAAGTTCCGCAGACAAACAATTATTTTAATTAAAAAAAAAAAGAACGAAGGAACGTCCTCATAAAATATTTTATCTGTTTTTCGTCCTGCATCGCGGTATTTATACTTACAATATTATATTAATCGATGACCATGTACACATGTGCTTTTTCGGTCGCTCGGACGACCGAGAGACCTGACCAAAGAAGATGTTTATAAGTCACGATAACCGTTTTTTTTTTTTTTTATTTATATAACTTATCCACAAAACTTCTTCGGACGTGTTGACTCTACGCATTTGTGCAGTGTTCAAAAAGTGGACGACCACCACGACGCAGTCACCGGCGTCCGTTATGTCGTCGGTGGCCGAACGGTTGCGGCGCAGCATCAACGCGGGCCCGCACCACATCTACGAGTGCCGCCGGACGAACATCATCGGGTCGCTGGTGCAAAACGCCAGCCCGTTCCTGTTCCCGTGCACGATCGAGTACAGTCTGATATGCGCGGCCATACTGTACGTGATGTGGAAGAACATCAGCCGGGTGCACGCGGACGTGTACCGGCAGCGGAAGGCGGAACGGTGCGAGAACCTGGCGCAGATCACGCACTACCGGAAGTCGCCGCACTACTACTCGGTGGACTGCGCGCAGGCGCACAAGGGCCTGTTCGTCGGCATACTGTTCCTGGTGCTCACCATCATCTCGCTGATACTGTTCTTCGTGCTCATCTCTCGCCCGGAGCTCATCACGTTCGCCGTCATGGAGGTGAACGTCTGCGAGCTGTCGCTGTACGGCATGACCACGCTTGCCACCATTGTCGGCATGATGCAGGTCCGTACCCCACAATAATACGTGACAGAATAATTAATAGCACACCGAACTACGTTTTTCGGTCTCGTACGCGCGTCCGCAAATAGCGCGGATTACGTTTCGCTATAGGTTTTCAAAACTCGGTGAACGTTTTTCGGTTTTAGGTTTCCACGCGCGCGGGACTTGTGTATAGAAACGATTGCGTGCGTGACGACGACGTACCTACGTACAATGCGTAATCGAGTTCCCCGGTTGTCCCGACGTCCGACAAACCGTAACGATCATTTTTAGATAGTTTTTGACGTTTTTAGGAAAATATTTTTCCGTTGAATTGACGGCAACTTAATAGTTTCAATAATTTTTGTGTTCGTGATGATAACATGTCAACAACAACAACTGGTTGTTTGATGCGAGCGAATAGTATAATATTAAACACGTAATAATAAGTTCATAAATCTAGCGATTTGTACACATAGGTAGGTGTACCTTGTATAGTATATTCTATCATACTTTAAACTCGAGCTATTTGAGCTGGCTAACAATTAAATAGTACCATTATTCAAGCGTATATTTTACTATTTATACTTAAATTATATAACAAAAACATTGGACAATAAATTCTTACAAAAACGAAAATAATAAAACGATTGGTCGCGATTTTTTGTACTGTACTAGCGATATGACGAACATTTCAAAACTAACAATGATATTTTAATTATTAACGCTATACATATATACATATTGCATTAATTGTATCAATTATTATAAAAAAAAAAATATATTAAACAAAAAATGCTCGTGTGTGTTCACTTGGTGGTGGTGGTAAAATGTTGTGGAATTAATGAATTATTAAATATTTATTATCGTTATTTACTATAACATAGCGACAAAACTATTAGAGTTTTTGATTAATACTATAAATTCATAACAATTAAAAATATCAACATGTCGATTTAGAGATATTATTAAAGCATACACGATGGTCGGTCTTTTTTCATTAAAGAAGCGAATTTACAAAGAGCTAAAGAAGTATTTAAAAATATTTTTAATAGTAGCTATCAATATTTGTAATCATCTTATATTTTTGCGTTGCCAAACATCACGTCAAAAATATTTTTAATGATAAAATTTACTTTTTAAAGTAAGTGTACATCATATTTAAATAGATGTATTTTGTTATTGCCTTAGAACAAAAATGTCGATAAAGATTAGTTACGTGCATGTGACTTGCGATATTACGCTGTGATAACTCTATAATTACTCATGTATTTATTAATGACCTGAGGTTTTAATTTAGAACACATCAATAGTTTTTCTCTTAAACTAGATCGAGGGTCCAAATACAGTTGCTCATATTTTGAGCCAAGGGTTTCCAAATAAACCTAACCAGTAACCAAGTGTATATGATAATGACTCAAGTCGTGTACACTGTATCTATATCATGTCGTAAAACGTAAATAATGTGCCCGACGTCATCGCAGGTCAGGCAGCTGAAGTTCGACGGTCTGCGGAACCTCGAGCTGGACAACATACTACTGGTGGGTGCACAGACGGGTACGTTCATATACAGCACGTTCACGATAATCAGCGGTCACTTCACCGAGGAGAACAACACGATACTGGTGCTGATCACCGCGTCCGCGTCGCTGGTGCAGACGTTTTGCCAGACGGTGTTCATACTAGACGCGTCCCGGCGGTCGTGCGTAACTCCCGACCAGATACGCAAGAAACCCGGCAGGGAGATCGTCACGTTCCTGTTGGTCAGCAACTTAGCCATGTGGGCAATCAACACGCTGGAAAAGTCCCGGGCCGACTCGCACCCCATACAGCTTCACTTCTACGGCCTGTGGGCGTGGACCATCATCACGCACGTATCCATGCCACTGGCCATATTCTACAGGTTTCACTCGACCGTGTGCCTGTGCGAGATCTGGAAACGGTCATACAAGATCAAACCGTCGTATATGTGAGGGGGTGAGGCGGCGCGGTCCGCTCTACGTCCTCTCCCGAAACCGTACCACAAAAATCATTTAATGTATAGTATACGCGTATTTAATATCAATAATGTTATTATAACATGTTTGGCAGAATCGCGTCGGGGACTGGGCCCGTTTAGTTACCGGTTCGGTTCCTCGGCTCTTCAAAATTTCAGTTTTTATTGCAAAGTATATCAATCAGTTTCGATACGATTCATTTATGAATGTATGTTAATTCTACCCAATATGAGTAGGTAAAAGAAGGTCCACGGTAAATTCCATCACGAAAATTTTTTAGATACGATTTAAATGTATTCGAATTCGTGAGTTGACCAAATTAGTTCCAGTTTGGAATTCGACTTTTTAAAACATAATAAGCTGAATTGATTTTTATTTAAGATTTAGATGTACTTTTTCATCTGAAAAACAGTTTCAGTAGTGGTTCGGTATCAGAATCATTTTTTTTAATTCTACGGAGGTTCCTACTAATCTGTTAAATTTGTCTACATTGTGATTGACGTTAGTAGAATTTACAACTTCGTACTCTAATCTTACGCTACTGTGATGTTTATGTAAAGCTGGTGTAACTGTTAGTACTTAGATTTATTCTGAAATGGGCTAAAGACCGCGAGGACTTACAAATATCATATAAAATATAGATAAAACTAGGAAATAACTGGTAAAATTATTCTGGACGTCTTTTAAATTTAAAACAATATTGAAAACTGAAACATAATACTATTGGGTATACCCGATATTGTAATAATTACAAATTGATATAGTAAATAATAGCTTAAAACCAAATGGTGATGAATTCAATTAGTAGAATAGAAAAGTAGATGCAAAATGGTAAGTGAGGTAACTAATTTGGTATTAACCATGATTTCCACACAAACTATAAATTCAATTTAAGTTAACAATTTTAAGAACTCTTTTGTGCGCAGCAATGATTTAAACGCACTAGAGATTATCGAGAATAATTATGTTTTATTATATACCGATAATACTCATATGATTTGATTATCTACAAATGCATCAAAGATTTTTATGCGAACCAAAATTTACCTTATTCACTGCAATTCTATTTTATTATAGAAGAATTTTTCAAGAAAACTAATAAAATATTTTTTAATATTCCACAGTCGTACTTAGGTAGCACGTTGGGACATGTAAGTATAGGATAAAATTATGGCTAAATTTTATAAATCTGAGTGTGGGTAAAAATTAATATTGTTAGAAAATAATAATTAATTTTATTGTTCTTTAAAATTAAAACATTCATACATTTAAAATTATTATCATTAACACAGTTTTATTTTACTTACTCATTTTGGGTAGAATTTATAACCATCAATTTTAATGTAACTGGCAAAACGGTTTTATAACTTAATAAGTTATCAAAACTATCATAGCTATTCATTATCATTATGCATTGGTAAATTTTGAAAATATCAAGTTATTTGGTAAAAACTATTTGCTCTAAACAACAGTTCCGGTTTAAAAAATATTTAATTATAGATTTCAGTGAGAATTCATTTTCAATATTCCGGTTATTTTATACGCCCGTACTACTGTCGTCATATAGATATTATCGTATTATTATTATTATTATTTAATATTTGTTATATTAAAATAATTTTATGACTTGTGCGTTAATATTGTATATTGTAATGAATGGTTCTAGTAATTATGTATGAATCGTCAAGTATGTACTTTTACTTATTTTAAAATGATAAATTGGAAATATACTGAGACGTCATATTGATTTCAGTACGTTTACCTACCAAATCATTAATTTGTGTCCACATAATTATAAAATACACTACACTATTAGTATAAATAAAAATAAATAATAAGTTATTATGAATATTTTGTAATATAATATTGTTATTAAATTGTTAATGTGGTAAACATCTTGAATGTTTTTTTAATATTTGGTATGTACATTGCATAGTAATATAATACAACATATACATTTGACAAGTGAATTTTTTACATTGGTTTCATTGGTTACTCCGATTATACATATAAGATAAAATATAAGCTATTTCTATTAATACATAACATTGCCTCGTGACGTAACCAAAGGTTCCGCTTTGAACTTGTAAAACGGTGTTTTCGAGTTCCATGGCAGAATTGCAATGAAACAATGTTTTGGAAACAATTTAGTTTAGTATTGAGTTTCACCTTTGAAGTTATGAAAAACATCGTTTAACATCCAAATTAAGTATAATAATGTGTTAATTTAAATTATTTATTACCTACCGTTTTGTCCCAACATTATTTTTATAGTATACATTTTTTTTTAAATAGCCTTTAAGTGTAAATCAATCATTACGAGTTTAGATTGTAGACACACAAGCATAAACCAATAAAATGATGCAGGAAACAAAGATTGGATATTGTAGTGTTTTAATAATTTTGTTATATGGTATTTTTTTTATACATTTCATTAAATTTTTAAATCTAAAAATAAGTGTTTATATCAAAAATATTCTGTAAATAAAAATAATTTAACATATTTTTACTATATTATAACTATATTTTACTGGTTAATATAAGATAAAAATACAATTAAAAATTACTGAATCATAGTAGTTTACCATAAATGATTCTTTCATACAATTAATGACAACAATAATTAGTTTATATATAAATATATAATTATCATTTAAATTACATAAATTGTTTCAAAATAAATGTTGTAAATCACAATGCTATAAATACGAATAATATTATATATATATATTTATTAATGATTCAAAAAATATAAATACTAATGACTTGTTGCCTAACAGAACACATCGATTTTATGTTTAATGTTTAATAAAATATTATAAGTATCAGAATATTTGTATAAAGAAGTATTAATAATGAAAAAAAATTAAAAGTGAATATTGCTTATTACAAATTGATTGTCGGCTTAATATCGGTTTCTCAGACACACCGAGCACCTGCTAATACGCGTTTGCAATGTATTTTGTTTGAGTGTTTGGGGTCGAGGCTTCCTGAACATATCTCGATCTTCGATTGTAGACAACCAATATGAGTAAGCGGTAGTGTAGAAATTACAGCGTCCTATTCCATGGCACTCAATAAAGGGTCTTGGTCTAAACTCTTCCAAGCACGAACCTGGGCTGACCAACGATTGGCCACCACCATCAGCACCGGAATCGGTATGCTGAAAAAACGAAAACCAATAGCTACATTATATTTGTTGCATGCTGGTTAAGTATATAAAATAATGTCACATCGACATGTCGATGGCGTGTTTAAAATTGTTTAATAGTTGGTAATTTAGTTTGTGAAACATAGATATAATATAAAACATGAAAATAATAACCTATGATTATAGCCATATTGGTATTAAATATTATTTGAAATGAAAATAAAATAGATATAACCATAATATCCTTATAAACAAAATGCATTTATGAATAAAACTTTTTATTTCACTGTATAATGCATTGAGCTAAAAATAAATATAATTTTTATTTTACTTACCATGATAAAACTGTATCCAATCCACAACTCACTCCAACCATTTGGACATTCAGGTATGGCCATTGATTGACTGTGCACTGCAATTACTTTTGTAGGAGCTTCACACACTGAACATCTTTTAGAACAATATAAAACACATTATTTTTTTTAGATATTAAAATGTATATTGAATAATATATGAAAAATAAGCATATTTTTGATATCTGTTTTATACCTTGATATGAATTTTGAAATATCAGAACCTAAAATTGGTGTCATCATTAAAGGCATTGGTTCTGGTGTGCTTAGCCAATAACTGTAATCGTTTCTACTCCCATAATTACATACTTCGTTTACGTCACAGAATAAGAATGGCATTGTATTGAATTTTCTCAAACAACTACCCGGTGCACCTTAAATTTTAATACAAATACATGGAAATATTATGCGCGAAAAAAATAATAACTAAAAACCATTATAATACAATTTTCGTTTTTTTGCTTACCTAAATCTTGCCCGTGTGCTTTGGCATTACCCATGAAATGTAAAAGTGAATAACCCGACCAGAGTTGAACAGTATTCTTTGGACATGTTGGAATAATATCCGTTTGAGAATGATACGTGAAGAAATTACCTTGGTGAGGTGGTGGTTTCATTGGCAGAGCATCAATACCTGCCAATCCAGGGCGACCTGTTACAAAAACCAAAAGTAAATTGGTAATAAGTGATAAATTAAATTATATTACAACATTGTTTTATTCTAAGAATAATAATTTATGATTTAATAACTATTATTAAAATCTTATTATTGATGTCATGCGTTACCAGGATATCCTGTCGGACCATATTTTCCTGGGATTCCTTGTCTTCCCTTTTGTCCTTTGGGACCTTTTAGACCTGTATAGAAAATGATAGACGTATTAACATTTATATATTTGGTTAATAATTGTATAAAAGTCATATGGATTCTAATAAAATTACGATGGAAATATTATACCTCTGATTCCAGGTAAGCCAGAGAAACCAACATCACCACGTTTTCCTTGTAAACCATTACGTCCATAGAATCCAGCATCACCAGGTTGTCCACGTAACCCTGTTTTATAAATATTTGATTAGATATCTTCAGTAGGCATATAATTTACAGTTTTTAAATATTAATATTTATAAATTATTAAATATTATGCTTTGACAAAGTCTAAAAAGTTGAATGTTATTATTCGTTTGAACTTGCCTTGTAATCCTTGAAGCCCATCATCCCCAGGCATTCCTCTAATTTGAGTCTCATTATAATATAACGACTCTCCGATTTCTCCTTTTTTGCCCTATAGTTAAAGTAAAATATTCATACAAAATATTAAATGGATATATATATATGTATAGTGTATACATATTCTATATTTTAAAACAATGACATAAGTACATATAAAACTATGATAATATTATTAAAATAGGTATTAGTTCACTTAACTTATGCACCTACTTATCTATGTATGTATATTATAATGATTTATATTATATTCTTATATGAACACACTGCCTTTAATTCCAGGTATTCCCATAAATCCTACATTTCCGGGTTGTCCTGGCATGCCTTGTATTCCTTTTAAACCAGGAGGTCCTAAAATATAAATGATATATTAATATTATTTCAATTTAATATTTTCACAATATATATTAGAATTTGATTGTATATTGATATACCATTATATTATATTAACAATGATTAATCAACGACTAATTTTTACAACTATACGTTATTATAGTCTAGGTACTAAGCAGTGTATTATTATTTTGAATTTTCACACTTCATTGTATAATTTGTACGAACTAAAAATGTACAAAATATATTTAAGGCTTGTTTCAATTTTTCACTTATTAATTGTTTTCTTTTAATTTGAATTCATTTTTTTGATCATACAGTTGAATAGAAGTACCTACTAACAGAGATGTATTGACTATTGGAACGTTTATTCATAACAATAATTATTAAGAAATCGGCATACATGAAATAATATCAATTTTATAAACACACGATAAATGGTTGGCAATGAGTATATCATTTTATCATCTATTATGAGTGTGCTTAGATTATTATTCATTGATATGCATAACTTTTAAAAATATATTTTTTTAGTAACTTATTGTTTGAGAATTAAGAAGTAATAGTAACTCATTTTCTAGCTCAGTAAGAAAACATTTTTTTGAGATATGTTTTTTGGAAAATATGGTATATATTTGAAACATTATTTACCAATACATCCTTGAATACGGAGAGTTGAAACAAAATTTTTACAATTACGTACTACACATAATATTTAAGTGTTTATTGTTAGTGGTTACCCATATATTTTACAGTGTTTTGTCAAATAATCGTATTTCCGTTCTGGTAAGGCACTAAATCATTCAAAATTATTACGATTACCGTTTAAGTTTAAATGGTTTTAATTTATAAAAAGAAATAAAGTGTATAGTGTAGGTGTAGAGTAGGACGATTATTTAAGGTCTAATTAAAGTGTGAAAACACTTACGATGAATCTGTATAATCATAATGTAACTAACAAAATATTAATAATAAATACCTGGCATCCCTTCAAATCCTGCTTCTCCAATTTCACCTTTTTCACCTTTTAATCCAAATAATCCAGCTGCACCAAACTCGCCTTGCTCTCCTTTTTGGCTATATAGAGAAATACAATTATTTTTGTTTAAAATAATTAATTTTATTAATTTTAGGTACCTACCTATATTTTATAATACCGGGTTCACCTTTCACACCTTTTAATCCTTGTCTGCCGGGTAGTCCATCAATTCCTGGAGCACCATTAGCTCCTGGTTCACCTTGGACAGATACACCTGTGAATGAGAATCCATATTTATAAATTTTATTTATATTTTAATTTTAATTTTAGAATGAGTATTCAATCTATAAAATAGAAATTACAAAAAAAGAAAATAAATAAATGTAAATTTGTGTTAAATGATAATATTAATTGTCAAAACAAACATAATAAAAAATAATTTGATAAAAAAATTAAAATAAATTATGAACATATCATGAGATTAGGTTAAATTATATACTGTAAACGCTATTATTTTAATTAAAAAAAAAATATTCAAACCTCTTGGACCAGATTTTCCTTTTTCTCCTTTTGGACTTATACCACGCGGTCCAACATATCCATTAATCTGATAAAAAAAAAAAAAAAAAAAAAAACAAAAAAAACAATTAAAAGTAAAGTAATTGAAAATTAATTCTTAATGAATATATTTAATTTATTTTCAATAAAACTAAATAATTTTAGAATAAATTTAAACTTATTTCTAATTCTGT